AGGGGGAGAAGGGCCTGAAGAGGGTAAGAAGGGGAACAGTGAGGATGAGGAGGGTCTGAGGGGGTGAGAAGGGAGAGGTGAGGATGAGGAGGGTCTGAAGGAGCAGGAAGGGAACAGTGAGGATGAGGAGGGTCTCAGGGGAAGAAGGGCCTGAAGGGGGTGAGAAGGGGAACAGTGAGGACGAGGAGGGTCTGAGGGGGTGAGGTGAGGATGAGGAGGGTCTGAAGGAGCAGGAAGGGAAGAGATGAGGATGAGGAGGGTCTCAGGGGGAGAAGGGCCTGAAGAAGGGGAACAGTGAGAATGAGGAGGGTCTGATGGGGTGAGAAGGGAGAGGTGAGAATGAGGAGGTTCTGAAGGAGTGGGAATGGGATAGACGAGGATGAGGAGAGTCTCAGGGGGAGAAGGGCCTGAAGAGGGTAAGAAGGGGAACAGTGAGCGTGAGGAGGGTCTGAGAGGGTGGGAAGGGAGAGATAAGGACAAGGATGGTCTCAGGGGGAGAAGGGCATCAAGGGGCTGAGAAGGGGAAAAGTGAGGATGAGGAGGGTCTGAGGGGGGTGGGAAGGGAGAGATGAGGATGAGGAGAGTCTGAGGGGGGTGGGAAGGGAGAGATGAGGAGGGTCTGAGGAGGAGAAGGGCCTGAAGAGGGTAAGAAGGGGAACAGTGAGGATGAGGAAGGTCTCAGGGGGAGAAGGGCCTGAAGGAGGTGAGAAGAGGAAAAGTGAGGATGAGGAGGGTCTGATGGGGTGAGAAGGGAGAGGTGAGGATGAGGAGGGTCTGAGAGGGTGGGAAGGGAGATAAGGATGAGGAGGGTCTCAGGGGGAGAAGGGCCTGAAGAGGGTAAGAAGGGGAACAGTGAGGATGAGGAGGGTCTGATGGGGTGAGAAGGGAGAGGTGAAGATGAGGAGGGTCTGAGTAGGGTAAGGAGGGTCTAAGTGGGATGAAGAGGGGAGAGGTGAGGGTGAGGAGGGTCTGAGAAGGAGAAGGGCCTGAAAGGGGTGAGAAGGGGAAGAGTGAGGATGAGGAGGGTCTGAGGGGGGCGAGAAGGGAGAGGTGAGGATGAAGAGGGTCTGAGAGGGTGGGAGGGGGGAGATGAGGATGAAAAGGGTCTGAGGGGTTGAGAAGGGAGAGGTGAGGATGAAGAGGGTCTGAGTAGGGCAAGGAGGGTCTAAGCGGGATGAAGAGGGGAGAGGTGAGGGTGAGGAGGGTCTGAAGGAGTGGGAAGGGAGATAAGGATGAGAAGGGTCTCAGGGGCAGAAGGGCCTGAAGGGGGTGAGAACGGGAAAAGTGAGGATGAAGAGGGTGTGAAGGGGGTGGGAAGGGAGAGGTGAGGATGAGGAGGGTCTGAGTAGGGCGAGGAGGGTCTAAGCCGGATGAAGAGGGGAGAGGTGAGGGTGAGGAGGGTCTAAAGGAGTGGGAATGGGAGAGACGAGGATGAGGAGGGCCTCAGGGGGAGAAGGGCCTGAAGAGGGTGAGAAGGGGAAAAGTGAGGATGAGGAGGGTCTGAGGAGGTGAGGAGGGGGGAGGTGA